AGAGTTGAGCAACCAATCGGATAATGTATTTCGTAATTCCTTTGGCGCAAGTTTTGCCTTATGTTAGGCATTGCATATGCACGACAATTCCCTGATTCACGCGTGTTTATGAAGGCGTAACGATAACGATAAATTACACTTTGATGTCTTTTGTACATATGTTCTATTATATTATCATCTTCCAATAGAATCTGCTTTAAAGTCATTAAATAAAAATGCCAATGGAAAATCAAATCAATTTAAGTACTAAGAATAAGAATCGTTTTTATTTTTCAAAAATATTTTATTAATGTTGTCGATGTTGAAGCAAGAATAAATAATTATAAAAAAAAAAAAAAAACAAAGAAAACGAAACAAGAATAAAATATTTTTTTTGCTATTTATATTTATATATATATGAATGTAAATATATATTCATCATATTTATTATTATTTTATATTATTTAATACATATAATTTAAAATATATTATTATATTTTATGTGAATATATTAGTTTTATATTATATATAATATTAGATATATTATTATACTTTATATAAATATATTATTATTATACTATATATAATATTAAATACACTATTACATTTTATATGTTGTATTTTATATTTTTATACAATATGTTATATTATTTTTAGATAACTATATAATTATATGAAAATATATAGTTGTAAATGATTTAGATAAATAGTTATATTTTATATATATAAATATAAAAATGGACGTTAATTATTTATTGCTATAATATGATAAAAAAAGATCGACTTTCATAAAAAAAAAGCAAATATTTGCATTTTTCTACGTCAATCAACCTTATCAGGTATCATTATAAAAAAGAAAAATCAATATTTCGTAATTATTTTTATTTGTCTTTTTAAATCGTACGATGGAATTTGAAGGTGACAAGAGATAGGACCAACGCCCACACGTTCCGAATAACGTTCCAGCTATCGATCATAACTCATAAAGCGCCAACGACACTGACGCAAGAGTTCCGCCTTTTTTTTCTACGAACAGATATTTCGAGTAGAGAATGAGATTGATATGAATCGCTTAGTGGCCTTACACCTTCCGTGAATACAAATGATTTATTTTAATTAACTTTATTTGATGATCAAGTTATCCTTAAGCTTACTAGATTTATATATAGCATAATGTTTTGAATGATTATATATATATGTACATCTATTTTTTATCGTCATATTATTAATTATATATAGATGTACGTATGTATGTATATATATATATATATATATTTATTTATTTATTTATTTATTTATTTACTTATTTATTATTAATTTTATTACAATATTATATATAATGAAATTTATTGATTAATAATATTTATTATAATAATAACATATATTAATCATAATAATAATAATAATAATAATAATAATAATAATATTAATAATATATAATATATAATATATATAATTATATGTATATAATTATAATAGTAATATATATTTAATATATATATATATGTATAAGTGCATTTATTTATTTAAAAATCTAAAAATCTATCAAAGAATAGTATGTTAGATAAAGATAACATTTTCATAGATAATATATATAATTATATGTATATAATTATAATAGTAATATATATTTAATATATATATATATGTATAAGTGCATTTATTTATTTAAAAATCTAAAAATCTATCAAAGAATAGTATGTTAGATAAAGATAACATTTTCATAGAAAAAATAATTATTTATACAAGTAAGGAAATATTAAAAATTACACTATAATTTCGTAAATAATATAAGGCATATTATCTGTTAAATGTCTTAAATGATTATAGCATACTATCTTAAATAATATAGTATACTATCATTAATTTAATTAAAAACCTAAGAAAACATCGCATGTTAGGTAAAAACAACACCGGACTCGATTTATTACGAGATCTATTATATTTTGATAACCGTAACCGAAAACAATCGTTAGGTAATGAACTTTACGCATCAGAATGTGTTCTTCGCTTTCTTAATTGGATCGTACATGATAACACATACAAAGATCCTAGCAAAGTATAAATAGAAACAAACAAAATATTTTCTTTTCTATATCTCCCTCCCTCTCCTCCTATCCCTCCCCATGTAATACTTTTAATATGATAATAATCATTTTTTCTTTCGTGTGGATCTTTTATATTCTTCTAAGTCCTTTTATCGAACGTTTGACACGTTTTCTTAGACAAAGACCACGCCCTCTTTATAATAGACTACCCTCGATCCGTTGACCACCTCGTGTGAGCGTATGTATGTACCAATAGGCGTGTATATATTTTTCCATACACGTGAATCCACGTTTCTTCCGCATTAATACCAAGGTTATCTTCGTCAACTTTGATGAATTGATAGCAATGAATAGATAATGATTATCGAATCAATTGTAAATTATTTTATTTTACAATACAATTTATTTGTCTAATCATTGTATTAAAAGTGATGTAAAATTATTTATATATTATTTATAAATTATTACATATTCATTATATATAATAATAATTATAACACTAACGAAGACAAAAATAAAAATATATAAATAACTTTATATATATAAATGTATTATATATTTTTATTGTAGATAATAATTGTTAAATAATTTCATCACTTATTGTAAATAAAAAATATAAAAAAATGTATTATCATATTTTATGCATAAGATTATTCTAAATATATAATCAAAGAAATCTAAAAAAAAAACGTTATCAATAATTTTTGTTTCTTATTTATAACGTCCATTAAACACATATATAATTGAACCTGATCTAGATCATTTGTAAATTCAAATGAATTTATAAGCTCCGTTAAGAAACTCGTAAGATAACGATTATGAAGATTGGTTTGATTAAAAGCAAAAGAATTAGAGTGCGTGACGGTATGAATAGAAAGGGGGAGAGAGAGAAAAAGACACGAATGTGCTAGCAGGTAACATTTCGTAGTAGAAACCGAGGTTTGCTATAACGATAAGAACAAACGCGCTCTTTTCATACAACTTAGCATTTCACTTCAGTTACCCTACTGTATTATGAAACTATATTGAAAATAGAATTACTTTTGATACTTAAAAAAAAAGGGAAAAGATAGAATAATTCTTTTCTAATAATACTAACGATCATTGAAAATGTGCTATTAACAAACATATTAGCAATTCACTATTGATAATTAATCACGCTATTTAAGAAATATCCATCCAATATTATATTTTCTTTTTATTTATAAATTTGTTTTTTTATTTTGTTGTGCTAAATAACCAAAATTCACTTGATTATTTCATTAATTTATTTTATATTATATTATTTTATAAAAAATGAGTGTATTATTAGTAAAAATTAATAATTAATTGTTAACCGATAACGCTATATAGAAAAAAAAATACCACGATTTATTCTTATTGTACGTGTTTATACATTTTCTTTTTGTTTACGTTACAATAATATCAAAGAGTCAAATTCGCTCTTTTATTATCATTTCTTTGTTTTTTTAAATATACATTATGATAAAATTATATAAACATTCTTCTGGTCGACAAATTGAACACCTAGTATACATCATCATTTATAAAATAATTTCTCGTCGTTGATAAAGCTAGGTCGTGTGAGGGGGGAGGAGGGTCAGGGAGAAAATGAAATAATAAATCAAGATAAAATATTCCAAAGAGACACAGAATGAGAAGGGGAGAAAGAGAGTGAGAGTGAGAGAGACAGAGATAGTTGATAGTTGTGGAAATAAGGAAAGAAATAGTAGCGGCACTTTAGGACCGAAGTGATAGCGGTTGGCCTTCGATCGCGGGGGAGTGTACATGTTGTATGTGTATCGCACATTAAATATACATATATCGGTGGCATTTACTCTTGCAAAAGCGTTCCGGGATTGACGTACATTAATTATAGCGGTTCGTTTCACACTGCCTGCCTGCTTGCTTGCTTGCTTGCTTGCTTGCCCAAGTTACTTACTTGCTGAAGTATACTCGTATATTGAGCACTCCGTTCTTCTTTCGTATTGATTCTATGAACACCTCATCTTTTACGAAAGTTGCATTACTATTATGTATTGTACACGAACCAGCACCTATCCTTACAAAATACAAAAGGATGGAAGAATGAAATGAAATGAACGATTTATGCATAAGGTGCTTCGCTCGATCTTCAGTTTTAAATCAATAGATTTTAACGTTCACTTCATTGCCTTTCGAAAGAGATATTTAAATGATTTCGTATTTACATGATGAATGATAATTTATTTTGACGATTAAAATTTAGTTGTTTTTGTCTATACTTACTTAAAAAATGTTACAACTTACGTAAATTTTAAATGGATATTAAATGAAATTGAATTTTTCATTGTAATTGTAAAGATTGCAAAACTATAGAATTGCAAAATAATATATTTTTTTATTTTTAATTTATTTTAAATTAAATTATGTATATATAAATTTAATTGAAGTTACTTATGACAGATTAAGAATAAGGTGACGATAAAACAACTATAAACAATTTAAAAAATAAACAATTTAGATATCTTGATTTATTAAATACAATTTAAGAAATAAATATATCTCAACATATTAAGTGCAATTTAAAAACTAAACAACTTATCTTGATTATAAAAATATATTCAAAGTTAATTTTTTATTAATATAAAAATTAATATAATTTTACTCATTTTTAACTAATAAAAGATCTTACGTTACTAATTATAACAGTATAATATTTATTCTATTATTTTGCAATGATCATCGTATTTTACCAATGTTTAATTTAAATTTAGACAGTTATAGACCGTATATGTATCTCTAATGCGCATCAATCGTATTATGCAAACACTCAAGAGAGAACAAAGTAGATAGTCCTGAATCGATGCTCAATAAATCTCCGACTCGAAGCGAGATGATCCGATTTCTTGCGCTTTATATAATCGACGTCTTTCTTTTTTAAAGTTGAAACTGTTAACTGTGTGTATATGTCTATATACAGATATCTTTTAAAAATATATACCTATGTTATGTAGTAAGAATTAAGAGATAATGAATATACTCATGTCAAACAGAATATATGCAGCTATATATTAAATTGAATTAAATTATAAAGATATGTCAACTAGCTTTTTAAAAGATCAATAACTTTATTGCTCAAATTCATTGATATTATTAATGATACTTTAAGCAGTTAATTGTGTTTAATGAATATACTCGTCATACGATAAAAAAAAAATTACTTTTTACTCTTTATATGACAATTTTTTTTTATAAATATTTTGAGACAACGAAATAAAAAACAAAGTAGAAGAAAAAGAAAAAGTTCACTTGAAAAATAACTGCACACAGTGTGAACAAGAAAATATTTACGAAGAAACTAATAGGATAAGCGTACACAAGTGGTCCTAGTACCAATTTTTGACACAGGACAAAATAGTCCATGCCACAGAATGAACTAGATTATCCTGTACTCTCCCTTATGAGTCACAACGCTGCATGATCCACCATTGATTCACGATATGAAAATTGCATTATATATGATAATTATGTATCAACTGATATTCAGAAGCACTTCATAATCATATTTTATTTTACATGAAATAATCACAATGATTTGAATAAAAAATCCAACCAATAACCCACACGGTTATTGACACGTTTATACATTAATCTGTGAAACCATTTATCCTTGATTCTATGAGTACATTAATATATTATTCTGTGAATACATTGATATCTATTTTGAGAATATGTTAATACCTTATTCTGTGAATCTATTAATCCACTATTCTATGAATATATTAATATATTATTTTGTGAATCTGTTAATTCATTATTCTGTACATCCATTAATTCAATATCCTGTGCATCAGTTAATTCATTATTTTGTCAATACATTAATCCATTATTCTCATAACTTATTTTATTTATTCATTAATTCATTATTTTGTGATTTTTCTGCATCACTAATAAACAATAACCATATTGATAATCATAAAAATTCATTTGTTTAACAAGTATAATATTCATACCATTACATATAGGATAAAATTCCATTTCTTTTCTCCAAATGCAATTAATAGCTGTTCCGTATATTATCGCTTTTAATAATATCGCTTTGTAGACGCATTATTTGTATGCTTCTTCTTTTGTTTTGTTCCACGCACCAAACATTTTGATAAATTAAATAGTACTCGCATGACTATTCCATCTGTAATTGTTCAACTACTCGTGTATACACTGCGATTTACTGCATTCGTTTACGTAAGTAGTAATTTTATTATTTGTCTTTCAAGCTGCGGTTTTTCTTGAAACTGTTTTCCACTTTTTACTCATTTCTATAAAATATATTATCAGTCGGTAATAACATAACTACTTTATCAGTCGGGATAAATAAGATTTAACTTACAGATACGGCATATAGGAGGTACGTATAAAACTTCAGCATCTAGATATTCCATCATTACCGCCAAATAAATTGACACTTCAGCTTCAATGCTTTAACCATAATTTCGTTTTTTTTTAATATTGAAATTCTTCAAAAATATAAATTTATAGAATTGTAACAAAAACACTTTGCGAAATATTTTTAAAATTTTTAGAATAAAATTATCAATTGTAGCAGAGTAAATAAATTTTTCATTATATTATCTTTGAATAAGTACAAATTTATTAATTCAATATTTTATGAATGCTAAAGAAATTTACCAATCAGAATCGACTATTCCCTTTTACATTTTTCGCTCTGAAAATTTTCATAAGGCTTGAAATTTATACGGTTTACGTCTTAAAAATCAATTATATGTCTTCCCGCATTTAAACTTGATATTTGAAATTTTATGAATGCACGTCACACTCAGTACAGATTTTGAGGTTATGTATCTTACTACATTTCGATTAAAATTATCAAGAGCATTGTGTTTTAATATAATATAAATATAATGGAAAAACGAAGATGTAACAGCACTTAACACTTAAGAACTATGTTTTCGCGTAATTTCTCCGATAATAACAGTGATTGGTCGAAGCTTATAGCTACACGATCGTATGTGATGGCGCTTAACATTATAACTTATGGTTTAAGTCTTACGTCGATGCATACGTCGAAGTCTTTAGTTCCCTGAATTTAAAATTGGTTACAATAACCGTAATCACTATATAACAGTCTGTACCAACGTTTCGTAACACATTGTTACCATGACAACGTTACCACGACGGATTTGACGTCGTTTGCTGCGATATATATTATAGGAGTGAATTGTTCAAAATATTTAAAAAATATTTCGTAAATTTTAAGAGTAAATTTATCAATTGTGGAATAAATAAATTTTTCATTATATAATATTTGTCAATATCAAATATCGCAATCTGATTGGCTCTCTATAAATACTGTACATATTGAGTTTTTTGACTGCTATTGTTATTGTCATAGCGGTTAAATCGAACAAGGCAATTAGTCGAAACCTTATTATTCTAAAAAACATAAATCCCCAGCTAACTTGTGGCTCTATTTTATAAGTTGTTTGCAATGTTATGTATGTGTATGATTTTAATAAAAAATGTGAATATGTATCTGACACGATAAGCTTGAACATAAATGTATAATATTCCTAACGAAGAACGTATATACTTTCCGTTTATATATTTTCATTTTTAATTTTATACTAATTGATATTCTATATGAATCTCTTTTTTTTATACGAATATTGTTCTATTATATATTGCAAATGTATAATCCGTATAGAAAAAAAAGGCGTACAAATATTATACATGAGTAAAGAACGTTGTTATTAAAATACGTGAATAAAAATTAAGAATTATTAAAAGGAAAGTTAAAATTTTTGTTTAAATAAAAAGATTCTATATGTTAATATAATAACTGATATTTTAGATGCTGCAAATGGCATGAAAAAAGATTGGAAAGATTTGGCTTTTTATTAAATCAAATAAAATAAGTTCATATAACACCAAATAAAAATTTTGTTAAATGTTTGTTAAATGTTTATTATATCTTCTGAATCCAGTTTTAAAAAGATTATATATTTTTATATGATCGCTGATATTTATTTTTGTGCATTTATTTTTGTTTTTTGTTATATTTATTCAATTATCATCACCGAACGTATGATATAAACCATTGCATCGTACATGAAAAATAGCATATACGTTGCACTTGAGACTATCAAGAATATTGTTTTAGGAAGTTTTTATTGCGATTATTCGCAATTTTCTTCATTTTTTTTCCATACACAATTATTTTATGAAAAAAATCGCGGAGACTCTGTTAGTGCAGAAATAGTAATCTTGAGAAACCTGAAGGTTTTTGTAGATTTTGAAAAACCTTCAAAAACTTCAGAAGGGGAAAATAATGCATTTCTTTGTTTCCTAAAAAATATTCTTTTCGTAGTTCCTTAGGTTTTAGTTGCTCTGCAATTAGAGTCTAAGTTTCCAAAACCTACACTTATCCTAATAATAATTGTATGAACCCTCATGAAAAGTAATATGAATTTGTATAGATTGATAGAATTGAACTTTAATAGAAGATTATGCAGAAAGTAATTTCCTAATGCTTTAATGAATGAGCAAATTAATACGATTAAAATTTTATAAGTTAAAAAAACTATATATAAATTAATGTGACTTGTTATTATTTCTATTTTGGCTACCGTATATATATATATGAGGGCTGTAAGATATCTGTTGTTTGTTAAGGATAATTTTTGTAGGGTGCAATTTTTAGGAATTTGTTCTGAAATCTTTGAAGGGATTTGATATGTATTTGAACAGCGATTGCTCAGATTTATGAGGCATATTAACAGAAAAGGTTTTACACAAGCTTTGTAGAGATATAATTTGAATTGAATTTTTAGAGAGTTATTTCTGTTAATTAAAGAAGGTATAGGGTTTTGAATATTCCTTGAAATTTGTTGATTCTTAATCATATTTCATAATGTAATATGAAATCTTCAGATAAATCTTCTGTCGATCTAGATACCTGAATATTACATTTGAAGTGATCATGGGATGTGTGTTGTCTACGGAGATGTTTGAGGAGTTAGCTATTATCTTTTTTATTAATTAGGCTGTTTCAGTCTTGTCTATATTCAATTTAAATTTCCAAAGGTCTAAATATTATTTTATGTCAATTAAACGTTCATTGATGTTTTTGATGACGTTATACAAATCTAATAATATGAGGTAGATGATTGTATCGTATGCATATAAGACCAAATTAGTTTTAGAATATATAAGGAAGTAATTTATAAATATGTTGAATAAGATAGAAACTGGATGAAACCTTGATCTCAATTAAGTTTGGCATTATTTTAAATGTAATTCTACCTACCTAGCCTTAATTACAAAGTTTCTGTAGTTAAAGTAGCTTTTTTATAATGTTGACTGTGTGTTGCGAAATTTTAGTTCGGTAGTTCATGGGAATGATCTGTGTGTCAAACAACATCAGTAATTTTAAGTGAAGTATTTAATACCATTAATTTCATAAAATTTCGTTAAAAAAGAAATTGAAAACAATTCTACATATAAAAAATAAAATTCGTATGTATTTAGAAGATATACTTTTGTTTATACAAAATTATTAGTAACGTAATAGAAACGAGATAATTCCTTAAGAAAAAACCAATCTGGTGGCCCTAAAAAGGACCGTTGTTTTTTCTTCATAGATTTTTAATTATGCTTTCTTTTCTGTCTTCTTTGGGAGCAGAACAGCTTGTATGTTTGGCAAAACACCACCCTGAGCAATAGTCACGCCAGATAAGAGTTTATTCAATTCTTCGTCATTTCGAATTGCTAATTGCAAATGTCTTGGAATAATTCTTGTTTTTTTGTTATCGCGAGCTGCATTTCCGGCCAATTCCAGAACTTCAGCAGCTAGATATTCCATCACTGCTGCCAAGTAAACTGGCGCTCCAGCTCCAACGCGTTCGGCATAATTACCTTTCCTTAAAAGCCGATGGATACGGCCAACTGGAAATTGTAATCCAGCTCTATTCGATCGTGACTTTACCTTTCCCTTCACTTTACCACCTTTTCCACGTCCAGACATATTTAAGTTCTTCGAAAGAGAAATATTTTAATTTATAAAATCGTAACACAAAGAAATCCTTCAAGTTCTGTTTCAGAAATGATGCTTAACCGAATCATATGTATTTATATAAGTCTTCATACTAAGAAACAGACCAATAGGATTATTCGAAAGATTCTTGAGTTTCTGTAGTACTTCAATTGGCCGAGGGCTGAGCCACGATGCACTATATAACGGGAGACAAGATTTCATCGGACTATTACCCACAAAGTCATTCATGATAGTAGATGTCAAGGTTCTGACTTCTTACGGAATATAATACGAAGAGACAAAATGTTATTTATATACAATCTGAGCATTATCTGCCACATTTTGTCGGACAATTATTAGATTGATGCGTATGAAATGTCGGATTTTCTTTAAATGTGAACATTTGTCTCCCTGTTTTTGTTATGCTTATGTTTTTGACATAACCTGATTTATAGTCGTACTGTCTATTGTCAGAGTCACATTTTAGCAAAGATTTTCTTAAAAGTGTTCCCTTTTGTTATTTGCTTTGAATTTTACACCGATATGAATTCAACCGATATTCGTGTAATTTTCTTATATGAGTATAAACTTGGTAATAATACTGCAAAAGCTGCACGCAATATAAATCAGGCTTTTGGGGAGAATGTTGTGAACGATCGAAAAATGCAACGTTGGTTTGAAAAATTTCGGTCTGGTGATTTTTCCCTGCAAAATGAACCGCGTGGAAAACCCGAAAGGTCTGTGAAAAATGATGCTCTGAAAGCATTGGTGGAAACGAATCCAACTGTTTCTTCAAGGGAACTTGCTGCTAGAATGAAAGTTGACCATACAACAATATTGCGACATTTTTCTGAAATTGGCAAGGTGAAAAAAATGGATAAGTGAATACCACACGAATTAACCGAGCGAAATAAGCTGGATCGCTTGAACGTATGCTCATTATTGCTAACCTGATTTAATGGAGATCCATTTTCCGATCGGATCATTATTTGTAATGAAAAATGGGTTCTTTACGACAATAGGAAAAGGTGTGCTCGGTGGCTTGATAGGGATGAGGTTTGTGTTCATACTCCATGGCCATTACTTCATCCACGGAAAATTTTAATCACAGTTTGGTGGAATGTGAGTAATGAGTAGTGAGTTTGGTGGAATGAGTAATATACTACTCATTCCTTCGAATTGGAATGACAATTACAGCCGAAAAGTATTGCCAGTACATTGAAGAAATGCATGAAAAATTGAAAATTATACCCCAATCACTTGTTAATCGGCATGGCCCAATACTTCTCCATGACAACGCTCGGCCGTATACATCGTACAAAACAATTGCGAAATTAAATAAATTAAAATATGAAATTTTGCAGCACCCACCTTATTCACCGGATCTTTCGCCAACCGACTTTCATTTATTTAAACATTTAGAACTGTTTTTACGGGCTAAACAGTACGAAAATGAAGACAGTCTGAAAAATGCCATATCAGAGTTCATTGATTCTAAAGATCAGGATTTTTTCAAGACAGGCATCTATGCATTAAAATCTCGTCGGGAAAAGTATATTGAAGTAAATGGAGCATATTCTGATTAAATAAACAGCTTTTGGAAAAAGATATGCAGTTTAATATATTCACTTAAGAATCCGACATTTCATTAGCACCAACCTGATACCAGCTGTACATCTTTGAATTTATTTTTTATTTTTGCACTATAGGGTATAATGGAAGATACGGCAACTAATAGTGTAAATACAACGGTTGAAAGTAACACCGAGAACGTGAAGCCTACTCCGAGAAAGGATACAAAAGCGAAAGCACAACGATCGAAATCGTCGCATCCTCCAACCTCTAAAATGGTTACTGCTGCTATTAAAGAATTAAAAGATCGTAAAGGCTCGTCGTTGCAAGCTATTAAAAAGTATATCGTTGCTACTTACAAAGTTGACGGTGAAAAAGTAGCACCGTTTATAAGACGATATTTAAAGACTGCAGTATCATCTGGTTTCGTTGTACAAACTAAAGGAAAAGGTGCATCAGGATCCTTTAAACTTTCAACTGAAATCGCCAAGGCGAAACCTCAAAGATCTAAGAAGAAAAGAGCTACGGATATATCTGTGGAGAAAAAGAATGCAGTAGCAAATAAACCAGTCAATAGTAACAAGAAAGCTAAAACCTCCCCAAAAAAGACCCCCGAGACTGCAAAGAAATCTGTAGATCAAAAGAAAGCTACTAAAGTAACGTCTCCTAAATCTGGTGCTACTAAAGCCGGTGTTAAGACCATTGTTAAAGCTGGTGTTAAAACTGCTGCAGCTGCTGCTAATGCCGCTGAAAAGAAAACAATGAAAAAGACGGCGGCACAAGCCAAAACTATATCAAAAACAAAGAAAACTGCAAAGGCACCAGCCGCTAAAACTAAAACTCCCAAACCGAAAAAAGCTACAACCAACAAAGCTACTGTTAAGAAATAATTCTTTAGACATAAGTACGGAAATGGTCCTTTTCAGGGCCACAAATATTTTTTTTAAACAGGAATAATTTCGATATTTCACTTATTTTTATAAAATGTTTATTTTATAAATTTCTCCTTAATTTTTAAGAATTACCATACCTTCGTTAATAACATAATCATATTGCTTTTTAATCTACAATTTAATTTCTAAGAATAACAATGTATATATGTAAAATATTTGAAGCTATATCATGTTTGAGATGTAATTTTAAGAAGTAGTTAAATGCTTTTGCATTAGATTAATACGCAACATAACATGACGTGATAAATTTCGGTATAAACTAAGATCTATTAAAAAATATGTATAGTTTATTTTTGTTCATTTTACTTTGGTTTACGGTGAAGCTTCAATTTATACGTTCAATGGATAAAAATTAATTACATTTGAACGTGAAAAAGCTATACAAATTACCTATTATTGTTCGTACAAGTTTCCCCCTTTCCTTTTTTACTCAATGGTAGTATAGATTTTGAGGTTTGTGCTATGCTCTATAACTCAGACGAATTCCTCAAATATGTTCTTTCGCTAATCCCTTTTTTTCTTTTTTTTTTTCACCTTTCCCTATCTGACGATTTACAAATATCCTTGAGAAAATATACCATAAATACATCTATAAAAATAAGAATCGAAAAGCAAAATTGAAGAGTAATCCTACTAATCCTCAAAATGATAAAAATTAATTGAACATAATATGAATCCTCAGAATTTGTTTGATTTTTATTTTGCAAAAAATTATCAATCCATAGAAAAATTCTTACATTATTCGATTGTTGAAACTAATATGCAACAGTTCCATTTCAGGTTTGTAATTATTTTGTAAATAATTACTTTATTATTTACAATTTATTGTGATTAATATATGATTTATTTAGATTTTTTTTTCGTGCAATCAATATTGAAAAATAAATTGTTGATAAAAAAATATATCGTTCAAAAGCGAGAAAAATTAATTAATGGCTAAAACAATTAAGGATTAATAACTTTTCAATTAATATAACTTGGTCAATTAATATAATAATTAATACAGATATTTCTTAAAAAATTTTTCAGAAGCGAACGTTTTAGCTATAGATACAGAATTAATAATTAAATGACGATTCCAGGTAGAGATGCAAATCTAAACTCTTTCGCTGAACTTTTTTCAAATTTTCAATGTTTATTCTGGATTCTTACGTCTATTTATATTTCTTAAATATTTTACTTGTGATACAACATTTTTACTTGTGATCTCTAATGGAGATATGTCACAAGTAAATAGATGGATGGACGCTCAAAAAAATGTAAAAAATTTTTGTCAAAACCAGATTGGAATTTTGTTAAAATAGGATAAAGATGTGATAAAGACAGATTATATTCTATATTGTTGTATTTTTGTAAGTGCAAATAATAGTACAAATCTAATAGTACAAGTCAATTTCACTTCTTTCTAGCTCTTTTACTTTTACCTGAATATGTTCTGCGTTGCTGTCCTTTGCTTATGTTTGTAATAGTATTATACAAGCCTATTTAGCTTTCCCGTTCTTGTACTTACCTAGATATATCCTGCATTGCTATCCATTGCTTATATATAATTATAGTATACAAGCCAATTTCACTTTCTCGCTTTTTTACTTTCCTGGATGTATCCTCCATTATCATCCTTTGGTTATAGCTCTAATATTATCATATAAGTACATTTTATTTTCCTGCTTTTTCATTTGTCCGAATATATTCTACATTGTCTTTCTTTGTTTATGGTTGTAATAGTATTATACAAGCCAATTTCACTTTCCTATTTTTTTATTTACCTAATTATATCCAGCGTTGCTGTCCTTTGCTTATGGTTCCAATAATGTACAAATTAATTTAAATTCTTCCCTGGTTTTTGTCTACGTGAAATATTATTTAATCAAATGAATATGAATGAAACTGAAAATTTTTTGTTAAATTAATATATTCATTATTTTCAAAAAGAAAAAAAGAAGAATCTTATACTATTAAATGACTAATTCTTGTATATTTGTATGATTCTATATATATTAATTTTATCTTGAAAACAAGTTTGAGAATTTTAATGAAATGTAGGCGAATTTACAGTTTGTAGATGCGAGAAAATAATTTAGCTAGCTCTCGACTTTAGGAAAATTCATTTAGGACAGTAGTCCCCAACTTGGGATACGTACTTGGTTTTTAGGAGTATTAGGAGAGTAAGAAAAAAATTGAATAATACAGAATACAACTATTTTTTTAATGTTAAAGGAATATAACTTAGAAAAATTTGCTGTCAAGTGGTATGAAAGTCAATAATGGTCGGGAACCACTAATTTAGAAGATTAAATAACCGGATAAAATATAATTGATATTTTTATTTTTTTTACACACTCTTGTTGGTCTGACGTAGAAAACATTGATTATAATTTTGTTAATAAAACCGGTACCAAAATAATAATAACTTTTTAAAATCTCTTCTTACAATTATCTCGAAAATTGTAATAATAAAATAGGAAAAAAAATGTTCTCGAAAAAATTACCGTTCAGTGTAAATAAGATTAGCGATATTTTTCAAATATTTCGATTTTTATAACTATAAGAAGGTACAATCGAAAAATACCAATATAATATTATAATCGAAAGAAACCAATACAATATTTTATATTTTGATAGGTGACTTTGTTTAGATCCCGTTATGTGAATACATTATTGCTCGAACAATAAAATTGAGAAAAGATAAGACTTATGTCAATAATCTTAGTTTGAAATTTTCGCTCGTCACTTGTTTTATTCGAAGAGATTCGAAATTTTTAATTTTTAATTTCTTACATTAAATATATTCATATATTGTTGCGATTTTTATATATTTGTTTGCTAATAATATAAGCACGGATCCAAAAGAAAGATGCCAAGCCTATTTAGTCAATCAATATGCATTATCGGTAAGTAATCTCATTAAAAATTTTTGGTTTATCCATGTAGTGTCTTTTTACGGTTTTGTGACGATGAATATACAATAACATACAAAATCTTTAATTCCAAAAACAAAAATATTCAAATTACGAAAGAAAAGAGAAAAGATAATATCTCAATGTAAACTCATAATAATAATACTATGAACTTGTTAAAATAAACAACATAAAATAAATTAAACAGATATTATTAATATTATTAATCTTTTTATTCAGTTAATTTTAAATTAGCCAATAAATTTTTGAAAAATAATAATAATAATAATAATAATAATAATAATAATAATAATAATAATAATAATAATAATAATAATAATAATAATAATAATAATAATAATAATAATAATAATAATAATAATAATAATAATAATAATAATAATAATAATAATAATAATAATAATAATAATAATAATAATAATAATAATAATAATAATAATAATAATAATAATAATAATAATAATAATAATAATAATAATAATAATAATAATAATAATAATAATAATAATAATAATAATAATAATAATAATAATAATAATAATAATAATAATAATAATAATAATAATAATAATAATAATAATAATAATAATAATAATAATAATAATAATAATAATAATAATAATAATAATAATAATAATAATAATAATAATAATAATAATAATAATAATAATAATAATAATAATAATAATAATAATAATAATAATAATAATAATAATAATAATAATAATAATAATAATAATAATAATAATAATAATAATAATAATAATAATAATAATAATAATAATAATAATAATAATAATAATAATAATAATAATAATAATAATAATAATAATAATAATAATAATAATAATAATAATAATAATAATAATAATAATAATAATAATAATAATAATAATAATAATAATAATAATAATAATAATAATAATAATAATAATAATAATAATAATAATAATAATAATAATAATAATAATAATAATAATAATAATAATAATAATAATAATAATAATAATAATAATAATAATAATAATAATAATAATAATAATAATAATAATAATAATAATAATAATAATAATAATAATAATAATAATAATAATAATAATAATAATAATAATAATAATAATAATAATAATAATAATAATAATAATAATAATAATAATAATAATAATAATAATAATAATAATAATAATAATAATAATAATAATAATAATAATAATAATAATAATAATAATAATAATAATAATAATAATAATAATAATAATAATAATAATAATAATAATAATAATAATAATAATAATAATAATAATAATAATAATAATAATAATAATAATAATAATAATAATAATAATAATAATAATAATAATAATAATAATAATAATAATAATAATAATAATAATAATAATAATAATAATAATAATAATAATAATAATAATAATAATAATAATAATAATAATAATAATAATAATAATAATAATAATAATAATAATAATAATAATAATAATAATAATAATAATAATAATAATAATAATAATAATAATAATAATAATAATAATAATAATAATAATAATAATAATAATAATAATAATAATAATAATAATAATAATAATAATAATAATAATAATAATAATAATAATAATAATAATAATAATAATAATAATAATAATAATAATAATAATAATAATAATAATAATAATAATAATAATAATAATAATAATAATAATAATAATAATAATAATAATAATAATAATAATAATAATAATAATAATAATAATAATAATAATAATAATAATAATAATAATAATAATAATAATAATAATAATAATAATAATAATAATAATAATAATAATAATAATAATAATAATAATAATAATAATAATAATAATAATAATAATAATAATAATAATAATAATAATAATAATAATAATAATAATAATAATAATAATAATAATAATAATAATAATAATAATAATAATAATAATAATAATAATAATAATAATAATAATAATAATAATAATAATAATAATAATAATAATAATAATAATAATAATAATAATAATAATAATAATA